ATACTGTAATAACTAGAGCAAGTCCCTTTGTACAAAGTAGCCACCTTAGACTTCAAAAACCAGAGAAGGAACCAGCTCAGGGTCTGAATTTAGTTCCAGTAAGTCACTCCCCCCAGAAGTTTGTTTTCCTTTTAGAAATAGCTGACCACAGAAAGGAATATCACCACCCAGACATTGCAGCCGTGCTTCTTGCCCACCCAAGGAAAAGTAACCTAAACAATATCTTGTCTTTCTTGGTAATATGCTGAAAAAAATAATAATAAAAAAGCTCCTTACTGTCAAGGTTTCAATACATCTGTTAAGAAAATGACTAACAATTGCTTGTTTTGGCTTCTGTAAACTTGCTTATTGCTGCATTTAAGGGTCATTGTCACCCCACTGTCCTTGCAACTACTTGGGGTTTCTGTCTTAAAAAAAAAAGCTTCCCTTCCCTTCCCAGCTTCACTGCAGTTCCTTCTCTGGCCTCTGGAAACAGTCCTGCTGCAGCATTAAATTTGGCTAATTAAAATGTGAATTGGGTCCAGTGGTCTTTTCACAGTGGTCTTGAACTCCGTAACAATATTGAGCTAGCACTTCTAATAAAAACTTTATTTAGGAACACAGAAAAACAAACAAACCAAAACAAAGTCTATTTACTCAAACATAAAACATAAAATTGGGAGACATGACTAGATGCCTCCTAGCACCGCAAATACCAAGCATTCTTTTTATTATAACAAATAATATATTTAGAAAACTCCCACAAAACTACATATATACATACATTATATATACTTGCAGTTCACAAAACTGTTTGCCTAGAAAACCAAGATTCTATTAAAAATCGTCTTAGAAATATCACAGATTTGAAATATTATTTTATCATAATGAAAGCTATGATTGTTAGATTTTTGGAGAATAAAAGGAGAGATAGAGGAGTAGGAGACAAGAAACCAGAGCCAGACCTGCAACAGGCAAGGAATGTAGCTTCCTTTATTCAAAGAAGATACAGGAGAGGTAGAGGCTGTCTGCGAGAATCAAGCTTCTACAACTAGACAAAGAAAACAGGGGAAGTTTCATACCAGGGTGTGAGACACAGCTGCACTTTGTGGGGAGTTGAATTAGTGCCCAAGTTTGGTGTCCTTGAGGATCTCTTTTCTTAGACAGGCAGGTGAATTATCTATAGCACTAAAGGAGACAGACGGCTCCATAAACAGTCTCTCTCTCTCAGTCCAGGGAGTGACGGACCAGTTGATAAGGCTTGAGGAAGGCCAGGCTTGAGCAAGGCCAGGCTGCCAATTTAGGGCCAGTTAGACACTTCAAGGGATTTGTGGCTTTCCCTAATGAGGCCTGTGATTACATCTAAACTTAGATTTTTAATTTATAATTTTTTTTATGTGTATGAGTGTTATGCCTGCATGTATGTAAATGCACAAGTGTTGTGTAGTGCCTGTGAAGGACAGAAGAGGGTGTCAGATTCCCCTGGAACAGGAGTTAACAAACGGTTGTTAGTCACCGTGTGGGTGCTGGGCAAAACTAGGTCCTCTGCAAGAGTAGTCAGTGCTGTTAATCACTGAATCATGTCTCCAGTCCCCCAAATTTAAATTTTTAACTAATGTGACAAGACCAGACCAATTTAAGTCACAATTTGGGAGAAGTTATGTCTATAACCTTTGATAGACAAAAGAATTGTCACCTGATACTTTTTTTTTTTTTGAGACAGGATTTCATATAGCCCTAGCTGGCCACAGACTTGCTATGTAGCCAAGGCTGGCCTTGAACCCCTCCTGCTTCAGTTTCCTGAGTATTGGAATTACAGGTATGTATTACCATGTCGTGCATTGGAACTTAATTTTTTTCTAATTTTATTTTTATTTTATGTGTATGCATATATTGCCTGAATGTAGGTAAGTACTTTATTTTTAAGAATATCACAATTCTGGTATGAATGTCCTTTATAAAAGGAATATGGAAGGCTGGGCATGGTGGTGCATGCCTTTAGTCCCAGCACTCAGGAGGCAGAGGCAGGCGGGTATCTGTGAGTTCGAAGACAGTCTGGTGTCTACATACTGAGGCTATAGGGAGACCTTGTCTCAGAAAGATGAAAAAAAAAAAAAAGAATAACATGGAACTGGGAATAGTGGCTCATGTCTGTAATCTCAGCACTTGGGAGGATTAGCAACTGTTTGAAGCTAGCCTTAGCTACATAGACTGGGGGATTAAAAACATGTGCCACCATACCCAGCTGCTTTTGATTTTGAGACAGAATCTCATGTACTATGTAGGATGCCCTTGAACTGCCTTCCAATCCTCCTTCCTCCACCTCCTGAGTGCTGGGATTACAGACATGTACCATCACATCCAGCATGTATTTTCTGTATTTTGGATACCCTGGCATTTGGGGCCTTGATTCTAAAGAGTGCCCAACCTAGGAATGGCTAATGCATAGATAACAGACAACTCCCTTGGTAGCAGACCTTGACATAAAAACAGGACCCAAAGGCTTAGCCATCTTTTACCAAACATACCGCAACAATATTCCCCATGCCTCCCAAGTGCTAAGATTAAAAGCATGCACCACCACACTTAGCTCTGATCTTGTCTTTAAAAGCAAGTTAATAATATAAGCAGGGCATGGTGGTGCATGCCATTAATCCCAGCATTCAAGCAGGAGCTCTGTGAGTTTGAGGCCGGCCTACTCTACATAGTGACTTCCAGGCCAGCTTGGGGCTACAGGGAGAAAAAGACCTAACAATAATAATAATTAATAATAATAATAAAACACAAATGTCCCTGGCCTAAATCACCACAGGGCCAGGTACTAGATGACAAATAATTGCCCCAAGGGTCCAGAGCCCTGCCAACATTAGTCTGTCGCCAATCTTAAACTCAGTGTGTCAATCCTGTCTGACTTTCCTTTTCATAGTAACCTTAATAGAGGCTTTGACCCATACTCTGCCCTAATGCTTCTGGATAGACTTGGGTGGTTCCCCAGGTGATCCTGTATGGCAGAACATCCTTCAGTTCTAAGAATCAGAGTATAAAATCCTTCATGTCAATCGTGTGTCTGGCAGTGTCAGCACGCCTAAATAAAATGTATTTCAAGTACATTTTGGCATAAAGAGCCCTGACACAATATTGAAATCTAAGTCTTTAATATGTAGGATTATGATTTTTTATCTCTTGACAGGCATTAGTTAAGAAATTAGACCATCAATTCAGTAAAATTTCTTAAATTCTGGACTTAGTCACTTCTTTATCATCAATTTCTTAAATCTCCATGTTCTTTGCAATTAGAAGACAAAACTGTACTCTGGGTCCTTTTTTTTTTTTTTAAGAGTATTTTATGGGGCTGGAGAGATGGCTCAGCAGTTAGGAGCACTGGCTACTCTTGCAGAGGGCCCAAGTTCGATTCCCAGCACTCACAAGGTGGCTAACAACCATCCGTAACTCCAGTTCCAGGGGACCTGACACCCTCTTCTAACCTCCACAGGCATTATGTGACATGGGTGCACCTACCTACATGCAGGCAATACACTCATATACATAAAATTAGTAAAATATTTTAAAAAGGAATATTTCACAGAAGGTGCTCTGTATGTCGGTTGCATCATGACATAAGTGCACAGCTGACTGATCTAATTTACAGGTGTTAATACAAACTTATATAAACTTCCTATGAATCTTTCACCATGGTATTGGAATTCACTATCCAGTGGATTGGACATATGTAAATATTCTAATGAGTGGAGTAGGATATAGTCAGTGGAAGAGTGCTTACCTATTGTGTGAGAAGCCCCGGGTTCAATCCCCAGCATCACCCAAATAAAGCACAGCTGGGTATAATGGTGAATATCTGTAATTCCAGCACTCTGTGAAGCTGAGGCAGAAGGACCTGGAGTTCAAGGCGAGCCTGAGCTAGACAGTGAGTTTAAGGCTAGCCCATGCTACATACCAAAACTCTGTGTAAAACAACAAAACCCAAAATGGCATTTTAATGAGAATAAGATAAAGTTCTGCCAGATGTGGCAGCGCACGCCTTAAATCCCAGTACTGGGAGGCAGAGGCAGGTGGATCTCTGGGAGTCCAAGGCCAGCCTGGTCTACATAGTGAGTTCCAGGACAGCTGGGGCTACAGGAAGACCCTGTCTCAAAAAGACCCCCCCCCAAAAAAAGATAGCTAAAGTTCAACAAGGGATAAATGCTGGTGGAAGGCGTTTCTATATTTATCACACCTGCAGTCTTCCATATGCATGTTCACGAGTAATGTTAGTGGCTTTAAATAATGAACATTTTATTATTTTATGCTTATGTGGCTGGTTGATTCTTCTGTATGTCAGCTGAGGTCATTCGGTGGCATTAAGTTGGTGGCTGGTCTGGAAGATCCAAAATTATTTTTAAAGAAGTGTCTGGTGTCATACAGTGACTAGCCAAGTCTGGTTTCAGCAAGGTTCTCTCCCTGTCTGTACAGTCTTGGGGCGTCTCCATGTGGTCTCTTCAGCAAAGCAGCCAGATTTTTCAAATACAACAGTACAGGGATTGAGAGAATATTTCTAGAGATGAAGTAATTCTGCAGTAAAGCCTGGGCCCAGAAGCCAGCACAGAAGTACTTCTGTGTCCTCCTGGGCACAGTAGTCAATGCCTGTCCATATCTAAAGCAGAGGATGAAGATGCCACAACTTGATGGAGTTTTAAAGAACCCGCAGCTATTTTTGCCAACACTTCACAATGGAAAAAAATTACAGCCAAAGTAGTTGAATGTTTTAATTTAACCCAAAGTGATGGAATAGAGATGCTGTTTTCCCACATTTGTGTACATGTGGGACTAATTTTTAGAATAAGTATGTTGAAGTATCATGTCTGAAAACAGACTGTAGAACACAATGGAACACATTAAATCAACAAATTTCTTTAATAGTATAAAACCTTTTATGTCAAGTCAGTTACAGGTATGAAGCAGGAAATGAACTATAACATTCACAGAACGTTCTCTAAGACTGATAAGGCTTTCTACATTTTTACACTATGAATTTTCAGATGATGGGTAAGATGTGAGTGCTGTCTAAAGGCTTTCTTACATTCCTTACATTCATAGGGCTTCTCACCAGAATGAATTCTCAGATGTTGAATAAGAGAAGAATTAAGTCGAAAGGCCTTCCTACATTCCTTACACTCAAAGGGTTTCTCACCAGTATGAATGCTCTGGTGTAGAGTAAGTTTCTGACGCAATCTAAAGGACTTCCCACACTCCTTACACGTGTAGGGCTTCTCGCCAACATGAATACTTTGGTGCTGTGTCAGTTGTGAGAGTAGTCTGAAGGCCTTCCCACATTCTTTACAGTCATATGGTTTAACACCAATATGAATACTCTGATGTGAAATAAGTTGTGAGTACCGACTGAAGGCCTTCCAGCATTCCTTGCATTCATAAGGCTTCTCACCAGTATGTATTCTATGATGAAGAATAAGATGATAGCCCCGACTAAAAGTCTTCCCACATTCATTACACTCATAGGGCTTCTCACCCGTATGAATTCTCTGATGGAGCGTTAGCTGTTGTCGAACTCTAAAGGCCTTCCCACAGTCTGTACATTCATAGGGCTTCTCACCAGTATGAAGTTTGTGATGAACTCTAAGGCCAGAGCCACACAAAAAGTCTTTCCCACACTCTTTACACTCATAGAGTCTGTCAGCAATATTAAGCTTCTGATGTCGAGTAAGGTGTGCATACTGTCTAAAAGCCTTCCCACATTCTTTACATACATAGGGTTTCTCACCGGTATGAATCCTCTGATGGAGAGTAAGTTGTCCTCGTACGCGGAAGGCCTTTCCGCATTCTTTACAAGCATAGGGCTTCTCACCAATATGAACTTTTTGATGTGCTCTAAGGTCTGGGCCATATATGAAAGCTTCCCCACATTCCTTACACTCATAGAGTTTTTCACCAGAATGAAGTCTCTGATGTCTAGTAAGGTGTGCAGTCTGCCTAAAGGCCATCCCACATTCCTTACATTCATAGGGCTTCTCACCAGTATGAATTCTGTGATGAAAAGTAAGCTGCTGGCGTACTCTAAACGCCTTCCCACATTCATTACACTTGTAGGGCTTCTCCACAAAATGGACTCTCTGATGTGGAGTAGCAGATGTGAGCTTCTGGTAGGTGGACACTCTTTCAGGTGCAATGCTCACTCTGCTGAAATATCCCTCTTGAGGTTCCTCTTGTCCTTTGTGTTTTCTTTTTGACTCCCACTCATTTTTTAAAATGAGGCCCCTAAGGCCACTGCTCTCAATTCTTTCCATTACCTTCCACTGGCATAAATTAATTTCATAAATGCCATTTTCCGAGGCTAGGTGATTGGTCTCCTTCTTAGTTTCCAAATCTGAAAGAAAACAAGAAAGCAAACACAAGTTGTTTTCTTTTACTAAAGGAAGTAAAATGTAGGGCTAGAGAGGTAGCTCAGCAATTAAAAGCACAGGCTGCACTTGCAGAGGACCCGGGTTCAATTCCCAACACACACATGGCAGCTGACAACCATCCTCAACTCCAGTTTCCAGGGGAATCTGACACCCTCTTCTGATTTCTGTGGGCACTGTATGACACAGGTGTACTTACATACATGCCAGCAATACACTCATACACATAAAATAAAAATAATAAAATATTTTTATTTATTTTTGGTCTTTTTTTGGTTTGGTTTGTTTGTTTTTGAGACAGGGCCTCCCTGTGGCCCCAGCTGGCCTGGAACTCACTATGTAGACCACGCTGGCCTTGAACTCACAGAGATCCACCTGCCTCTGCCTCCCAAGTGCTGAGACTACAGGCGTGCGCCACCATGCCCGCCTAAGGGCATGAGGTATTTTTTAAAAAGAAGTAAAATTTCTACAGCAGAAATAAAAGAAAACAAAAGTAATGTTTAGCCGGGCATGGTGGTGCACGTCTTTAATCCCAGCACTGGGGAGACAGAGGCAGGTGGATCTGTGTGAGTTCAAGGCCAGCTGGGGTTATAGGGAGACCCTGTTTCAAAAAGACCAGAAAGAAAAAAAGAAAGGAGGAAGGGAGGGAGGGAGGGAGGATGAGAGGAAGGAAGAGAGAGAAAGAGAAAGGAAAAGACAGACAGGAAGAACAAAGAAAAGAAAGAAGAAAAGGAAAGAAAAGAGAAAAGGGGGCTGGAGAGATGGCTCAGCAGGTAAGAACACTGGCTGTTCTTGCAGAGGACCCGGGTTCAAATCCCAGCACCCACATGGCAGCTAACAACTGTCCGTAACTCCAGTTCCAGGGGATCCAACAGCCTCTTCTGTCCTCTGTGGGCACTGCATGACATGGGTGCACTTACCTACAGGCAATACACACACACATAATAATAATAATAATAATAATAATAATAATAGTAATAATAAGAAGAAGAAGAAGGAGGAGGAGGAGGAGAAGAAGAAGAGGAAGGAGGAAAAGAAAAGTTGGGTATGGTGGCCCACGTCTTCATAAAGGAGGCTGAGGCAGGCGGATCTCTGTGCGTTCAAGACCAGCCTGGTCTACATAGTGAGTTCCAGGCCAGCTGGGGCTACAGAGAGACCCTGTCTCAAAAAGACAAAAAAGAAAAGAAAAGAAAAAGTGGGAAAAAGAATGCTGTCCTGTGCTCCAGGAGCCTATCATCCCAAGTAACTCATACAAAACACTAGTTGCTGATGAAACACACAGCATTATAATACTGAGTAGAATATCAAGTATATATTCCTTTAAAACTTTATGAGCAAAGTTAAAAAACAAAAACAACAACAACAACAACAACAACAAAAAAGCTTGTTCCCCTGGCCATATCCAGCTCCTGGCTGGAGCTGGATAGGAGAACGTTTGCACAGAGCAAGATACGCAGTTCCATCCCCAGTACCACAAATGGAGAAAGAAACTTGATTAATACCACAAAGGTTTCCTGTGTCACATCACTATCTCTTCCCTCTGCCTGCTTTGCCCCATAGCATTCTATTACCTGGCATTACACCTTCTATTTAGTTGTAGTGACTAGGCTTCTCTGATTACAAGGTGAATTCCATGGGACATGGACGTTGCTAGGGTTTTTGAGCCACTGAATTGACAGCACTTACAATAGTGCCTAGCTTGGAGGCTACGTACCTCGTACACCTCTTCTCCAACTAGCTGGGGTTTTTCCCAAGCCTGACTGGCTCTCACTCACCTGGATTTCGTCTTCTTCCTTTCCGTACAACTTTCCAGGGCTCCTTTCCCTGCTCCAATAAGGAAATTATGTCTGGTTTAGAAATGAAGCATCCTGTTAGAGGAAAAGAAACAGGAGGTGATAAGAAAGAGTAAATTCAAAGTCTACTTGGGCTCATGGCAGTAAAATTGCTAGAAGCTATAGGTTAAAATGGTAATTGATAAAATCTTTAAAAAGAAGATAAAAGGATGGTTTAAAAATATTCACATTAGCCAGGCATGGTAGTACACACCTTTAATTCCAGCACTCAGGAGGTAGAGGCAGGTGGATCTGTGTTCCTGAGGCCAGCCTGGTCTACAAACTGAGTTCCAGGACAGCCAGGGAGGGATACAGGTAGACCGTGTCTCAAAAAGCAAAATAAGTTCATATTAAGGTTATACAATACACAGACTAGAGAGGAAGGGAAACAACTTTGTGTGACTTTGGGCAAGTCACTTCTACACTTCATTTCCTGTACCTGTAAAATAGCAACAATAAGAGCGTCTATCACAGCTGGGCATGGGAGCTCAGGCTGGTAATCCCAGCACCTGGGTGGCTGAGGCCAGAGGAGTTTGACTTTGAAACCACTCTGGGCTACATAGGAGATGCTCTCTCAAAAAAAAAAAACTCTAAAACAGGGGCTGGAGAGATGGCTCAGCAGTTAAGAACACTGGTTGTTCTTGCAGAAGACCCGGGTTTGAATCCCAGCACCCACATGGCAGCTAACAACTGTCTGTAACTCCAGTCCCAGGGGATCCGGCAGCCTCTTCTGACCTCCGAGGGCATTGCACGTCAAGGGTGCACTTATCTACATGCAGGCAATACACACATACACATAAAATAAAAATAATTTAAATTTTTTTTTAAAAACCCTAAAACAAACAAACAACAACAAAAAACAAAAACAGTGTTCACTTCGGCAGCACATGGACTAAGGGTGACAGAGAAATTCGTGAAGTGTTCCATATTTGCAAAGACAATACTCGTGTGAAATTCTCAAAAAAATGTTAAAAGAAAAAAAATAGCACCTATTGTATAGGTTTACTGTGAAGTATATTCATCTATCTGCATCTACACACTGCTGGCCTGCTCTAGACATCCTGTGCCGACCAGACCACTGGCATCATAACCGTGCTTAGAGGAGAAAGCAGCTTTCCAAGAGACATTTACTGCTATTTCAGTATTTTTCGTTTGTGTGCATGTTGTGTTGTTTGTATGACGTAGGTACTTGGTAGTATGGATGTGTGAGCATGTGTACAGGTCTGTGTGCATGTGTGTGTGTACATGAATCTTGGAGGCCAGAGATTAACACTAGTTGTCTGTGTGTCTGACATATGTATGTTCTGAATACAGGCGTGTACATGCCAAGGTGTGCATGTGGAGGTCAGAGGACAACTTTTGGGAGTTGGTTCTCTCCTTCTACCTTGATGAGGCATGGGCTTTCCTGCTTCACTGTGCTGCGCCCTCCAGGCTAGCTCGCCCTCAAGTGTCTGGGTGAATCTCTTTTCTCCATTTCCTATCTCGCCACAGGAAGGATTACAGATTGATGCTACTGCAATCTAGCTTTTTTTTTTTTTTTTTTTTTTGATCTTTTTGAGACGGTCTCCCTGTAGCCCTACCTGGCCTGGATTCGCTATGGAGACCAGGCTGGCCTCGAACTCACAGAGATCCGCCTGCCTCTGCCCCCAGAGTGCTGGGATTAAAGGTGTGCACCACCATGCCTGGCTGCATCTAGCTTTTTAACATGAGTCCCAGTTATCAGAGTCAAGTTGTATCAGGCTTGCTCAGCAAATGCCTCTACCCACTGAGCCATATTTCTGGCCCTCCACCTAATTTTGTAAGATAGGGTCTCTCACTAAACCTGAAGCTCATTGATTTGGCTAGGCTGACTGGAAAATGAGCTTCAGGGATCCACCTGTCTCTGCTCCCCTCAGACCTAGGGCTACAGGCATTGCATTTTACTACCTGAGCCGCCTCCCCCCTTACTTACACTGTATCTTATGATAGTTATACAATGAACAGAAAAGTTCAAAGTTCTTGGACTTTTCATTTTCAGTTATAAAAGTGGGGACAACTGTTCATTAACAAAGGGATTTTTTTTTTTTTTTTTTTTGGTCTTTTTGAGACAGGGTCTCTCCACAGTCCCTATCAGCCTGGAACTTGCTATGTAAACCAGGCTGGCCTCGATCTATCAGAGATCTGCCTGCCTCTATCTCCTGAGTGCTGGGACTAAATTAGGCATGTGCCAATATACCTGGCAATAAAAGGAAACGAGTTGTAAATAAACACTGGTGACTTAACTTACCACTATGTAAATTATATGTGTTCTTTTGATAGAGAAAAACTAAGAAACAAGGTATAGCCATTTCCCTTATGGGTAACAACAAAATACAATATCTAAAACAATCTGAAGTTCAAAAACAAAGTGAGGGACAGCAGGATAGCTCATTGGGTAAAGGCATGTGCAACAAAGCCTGCCAACATAAGTTCGATCCTTAGTTCCCCACATGGTAGAAGGAAATAACCATGTCCTGCAAGATTTCCTCTGACCTACAGGTGCAGACCATGGTACACACACATACCCTACATACACATACACACACACACACAAACAAACTTTTTTTGTTGTTTTGTTTTTTGTCTTTTTGAGACAGGGTCTCTCTATAGCTCCAGCTACACTCACTATGTAGACCAGTCTGGCCTTGAGCTCTCAGAAATCTGCCTGCCTCTGCCTCCCAAGTGCTGGGACTACAGGTGTGCGCCACCATGCCCAGCTAAATATTTTTTAAGTGCAATCTGTTTTTGATACTGGTAAGTCTATAAATCACATCTAAAACCTAGCTGATAAACAAGGTATGGTAGTTCATACCTGCAACCCCAGTACTCAAGAGGCTCAGGCAAGAGGATTATGGTGAGTTCCAGATCAACCTGGGTTACAGAATATGAAACTGTCTCAAAAAAAAAAATTAAATAATAATAATAATTTAAAAATCCAGCCATTAGCCGGGCACTCCCAGCACTCGAGAGGCAGAGGCAAGCGGATCTCTGTGAGTTCAAGGCCAGCCTGGTCTACATAGTGAGTTCCAGAACAGCTGGAGCTACAGGGAGACCCTGTCTCAAAAAAAAAAAAAAAATCCATCTATTATAAAGGGCCAGAGGGTCATTAAAGCATGGGTAAAATAAATATAATTAATGGAAATGCTCATTTCCAATGAATTGTGCAAACCATTTCCTTAAGAACATGGAGCAGGGCTGGGCGTGGTGTCACTCACCTTTAATCCCAGCAGAGGCAGGTGGATCTCTGTGAGTTCAAGGCCAGCCTGGTCTACATATTAAATTCCAAGCCAGCCTTGGTCTACATAGTAAGTTCCAGGTCAGCTGGAATTAAAGGGAGACCCCATCTCAAAAAAATAAAAAAAGAACATGGAGCAGGGCTGGAGAGATAACTCAGTGGTTAAGAACACTGGCTCTTCTTACAGAAGACCCAGGTTCAAATCCCAGCACCCACATGGCAGCTGACAACCATCTATAAATCCAGTTCCAGGAGATCTGACCCCTTCTTTTGACCTCCTTGGGCACTGCATGACACAGGTGCACTTACACACATGCAGGCAATAGACTCATACACATAAAATAAAAATAATGTTTTAAAATAAATAAATAAATAATAAATAAATAAATAAATAAATAAATAAATAGAACAGGGAGCAGGGTCAGCAAGATGATTCAGCAGGTGAAGACACTTGCTGTCAAGCCTGACCACCTAAGCTCGATTCCCAGAACCCACATGGTGGAAGAGAACCAACTTCCACAACTGCTCTGACCTCTGTATGCTTGCCATGGCACATGCGGCCCTCACACGTACACACATGCACACAAACTAAACAAACTAAACAAACAAACAAACAAACAAATAAATAAATAAATGCAAAAGAATAATTAAAAAAAGAACTGGGAGTAGAAAATCAACTTTCTTAAAAGTTGTTCTGGAAATTCCCATGGGGAGCTGATGCCTCATAGATTACAACCTAAATTACTGAAGGCAGACAACCTTACCTAGTGAGACCACATTGCGGTAGTTCTCCAACATCACATCTTTGTACAAATTCCTCTGCTCCAAATCTAGATACTCCCACTCTTCCTGAGAGAAAGCTATGGATACATCACTGAACATCACTGACACCTGAAATGACAAACCTTGTGTTATAACTGACAGGAAAGAAAAAAAAATTAAAGCCCAAAGAGAAACTGTAGACAAGATATAGCAAGAAGCGGGCCACTACAGCGAGCAAACAGGCCCAAGCTGGAGGCCAGAAGGTAGGAAAACAAGGTGCTGAGGCACAGTACTTATGTGTTCCTGAAGGATCTGGCGCTATACCCCCTCCTCACTTCCCCTCTTCCTCTCTCTCTGGTATTTTGTTTTGAATTATTTTATTATTTTTATTTTATGTGTATGCATGTATTGCCTGCATGTAGGTAAGTGTACCCATGTTGTGCAACAATCACAGAGGACAAAAGAGGCTGCCAGATACCCTGGAACTGGAGTTATGGACAGTTGTTAGCAGCCATGTGGATCTTGGGATTCAAACCTGGGTCTTCTGAAAAAAAAACAGCCAGTGTTCTTAACCACTGAGCCATCTCTCTAGCCCATCTCTCTGATATTTTTTCAACTAGAGATTACAGGTGTGAACCACCACATCTGCCTACTACAAATTCTTTCACATACTCTGACATACTTCAATAATCCAAAAGACATTTGGGAAAGACAAAATTATCAAGATGAAGGTAAAGCACATCTCTAAAGCTGTGAGATGGGATGAACACACTGCAGGGCGGGGTACAATACATATAACAACTGAGGTAGGAGGACCAGGAATGGAGAGCCACCCTGGGTTACATACCACTGTTTCTCTCTCTGTCTCTCTCTCTCTCTCTCTCTCTCTCTCTCTCTCTCTCTCTCCTTCCACCTTTATGTAGGTTCCAGGGATCAAACTCTCAGGTCATCAGGCTTACAGGGGTCAGCTAGCAAGGGCCTTTACTCTCTGAGTTATGTTGCTAGCCTTTGGCTTTGTTTTTGAGACAGGGTCTCACACTATAGCCCAGGCTTGCCTGGAATTTGTGGCAATCTGACTGTCTCAACCTCCTGAGTACTGGAATTAAAGGAGTGGGCCACTACCTCTGGCTCCAAGATTGTCTTTTTTAAAAACTGGGATGAAACCGGGCCTGGTGGCACACGCCTTTAATCCCAGCACTTGGGAGGCAGAGGCAGGTGGATCTCTGTGAGTTCAAGGCCAGCCTGGTCCGCATAGTGAGTTCCAGGAAAGCTGGGGCTACAGGGAGATGCTGTTTCAAAAAGACAGAAAAAAAAAAAAAATTGGGGTGGAGCTGGGCATGGTGGTGCACACCTTTAGTCCCGGCAGGAGGCAGAGGCAGGCGGATCTCTGTGAGTTCAAGGCCAGCCTGGGCTACATAGTGAGTTCCAGGCCAGCTGGAGCTACAGGGAGACCCTGTCTCAAAAAGACAAAAAAAAAGCGGGGGGGGACTTGGAAAATACCACACAAGCTTGAGGACCTGAGTTCACACTCTGAGCACCCAGATGAAAGCTGAGAAGTGGTGGGGCATCTGGTAAGCCAGCACATCCTGTTCATCTGCAAATGGAACAGATTCCTCGCAGTAGCTTTTAGGGATTCCCAGAGATCCTAGATCTCTGTGCATGCAACACCCAGACACATCCAACCCTAAAATCACAAGATCTCACCATATCTTAAATGAGGCTAAACAACTGCAAATCTTACATACTTAGAAAATTCAAGTCTTCAAAAGTTTGAGAGTTTTCCCCTGAGTGGTTAAATGGGTCCATCCTCCCTCAGCAACTTAAGAGATGTCGAATGATCTGTTCAATGAATACGTGAACAATGACTGGAAAAAGACCAGGGCAGTGTCAGTGTTCTTCAGCGTCCTCCTCACTAGATCTCAAACACTAGAAAGCTCCTGGTCAGGGCTCTCATAGGTAAGTTGCAGGATAAAGAAATGTTCATGGACCTTAACATGGCTGTTATTTCCAGAAGAATATGAATGGTTGACTTACACAGGCCATGGTTTAGAGATTCAAGAACTGCTCAGTCCTCCTTGGTTTATTTCACAGGAAAGGCAGCATCCACAGAGGCCAGAGCTAGGGGAGGAAAAGTCCAAGAGATGAGATTGTCCTCAGAACTCCCAAGATGACCTAACACGGATTCACTAAATGGAAAGGAAGAAATTCGTGAGGACCAAGCCTGACAGTCACTGCCACTACAAAACTGCTGCTCAGGCAGTCCAGCCTGTCCACAGCCAAGACAACAGCTAAGATCCTCCTGCCACCGCCTCCAAAAGTGCCAGTTCAGGATGGATATTTTCTACATAATGTCTTCTGAATTGCTATTTGCTACAATAGTCCATTCATGCAGTGGATCAGAAAATCCACAATAATCAGAAGAAATGAAATCACTTGTAGAAATTGAAAGTTGAGAGGCCAGAGAAATGCCTCAGTGGTTAAGAGCACTAGGTGCTCTTACAGAGAACCTGCGTTCAGTTCCTAGCACTGACATGGTGGCTAACAACTGTTCATAGCTCCAGTTCCAGAGAATCTGACACCCTCTTCTGACTTTCTGGGCATTGCACAACATGGGTGCACTCACATACATGCAAGCAATACACTCATACACATAAAAATAATAAAATATTTTTGGTCTTTGTCAGACAGGGTCTCCCTGTACCTTAGCTGGCCTGGAGCTTGAAGTGCTAGGATTAAAGGTGTGCACCACCATACCTGGCTGAATTTTTTTTTTTTATTTTTATTTTATGTGTATGAGTGTTATGACTGCATGTATGTAAGTGCACCTGGGTCATGCAATGCCCGAGGAGGACAGAAGAGGCTGTCGGATCCCTTGGAACTGGAGTTATGGACAGTTGTTAGCTGCCATGTGGATGCTGGGAATCAAACCCGGGTCCTCTGCAAGAACAGTCAGTGTTCTTAACCACTGAGCCATCTCTCCAGCCCTAAATAAAATATTTTTTAAAAATGAACTGAAAGTTGAGAAGTAGCAAAGATACATGTGGAGTTCTTATCTGAACAACAAAGCCAGCTCTCATTCAATTCTAGCCCTAGTATGTGAAGCCCAGAAGTCTGCCCCAATGAGAGAAACCTGGCATGCATGAGTCACTAAAAACAGAAATATCAAACCACTAAGACGCTAAATAAATCTCACTTTAGGAGTAACAACGCCTACATCAGCAAGAATATGGGGAAATACACATTCTAACTGGTATACTGCAGGTGGAATTTCAAAGTATACACAAGTAGCATTTAGGCCATGCAAACCCTTTGTCAGAAATTCTACTTTGGGGATCAATGAAGGTAATTAAACCCATTGTCCAAGGTAGATATAAAAGGGCATTGACAGACATTGTCCAAAATATAATAAAACCCAAATAGCCTTCAACAGGAAACAGATTAAATAAGAAACCTGTCATTTTAAAATATGTGTCTTTAATTGGAAAGATAGAATTATTTACTATGTATTGCTAAGTAAGGAATTCAGATAACAAAACAGTTGTAATCCCATTATTTTGTTTATTTATTTATTCATTCATTTATTTGTCATTTATTTACTTACTTTTTATTTATTTA